TGATCCGTTTGTTCCAGATACATTTTGTGTTTTTGATCCGTCTGTATGTTCCTGTTCTGATTCTATATTGCTCATCCGTATGTATGTTCCTGTTCTGATTCTATATTGCTCATCCGTATGTATGTTCCTGATCCGTTTAAATTTTCCTGATTTGTTTGTACTCTCGCTATCTATTTGCATGCTCCTGGTATTCCGATATGTTCTTAATTCATCTTTATGTTCTTGATCTGACTGTATGTTTGTGATCTGTATCAATGTTTTTGATTAGTCTGTCCGATCCTGATCTGACTGTATATTACTTATCCCTTTCTCTGTTCCTCCTGTTTAAGGCGAATATTTCCTGATTCTAAAGAACATGTTTTGTGACATGGGCGTCTGCAGGGGGAGGGGGAAGAGGAGGCACTTGCCTCTCCTGGAAATAAGAAACACAATTCCTACGTCCACCATATGTATATGACTTTTTTATTCAATTTCACACAACTTTGCCCTCCTCCCCCGGAAAACTTTGCCTCTCCATGAAAACATTTCTGCAGAGGCCCATGTTTCATGAACACATTTCACGGACAGTACCTCTGTACGACACATTTAAGGTCTCCAGGGGTAAGAGTGACCGCTAGGTGCAGTTTTCCTATATCAGATTTGAACGGAAGTTTCCTATAAATATTACTCTTACTTCTTTGACGCACATTAATTACTTCTGGCACGTTTCGCAGGAGTTATTGATGCACACATGAGCGTTTCGTAGAAAGAGTGATCTCAGCTGCGTCATTCCTACTCACTTGGCACGAGCTCTAAAACCGAGAGCAGCACGTGAACTCGAGCTTTCATAGTGTTCGCTGGTGTAGTGCGGTCGACGTCATGGCTCCGCGCTTCCTAATCGGCTCGTTATGGCTCTTGCTGGCTAACGTGCCAACGAGAGCACCGGGCAAGTTTCTCAATATGTTTGCGGCCCAACAGACCCCTGTTGATCCCTGCTATGATGAACTGGGCCAACCCCGTCGTTGTATCCCTAACTTTGTAAATGCTGCTTTTGGCAAACTGATGGACGTGTCCAGCGAGTGCGGGAAGCGGCCCAGCCACCTCTGCCAGACTTTCATAGACCAGAGGAGAAAAATGGGGCGGACCTGTGACACCTGTGAGGCCGACAGTCACCCCGCAACGTACCTGACTGACCTGAACAACCCAAGTAATATGACCTGCTGGGTGTCCGAGCCATTTACCAGCCGAGTTCACAATGTTACGTTAACGCTCAATTTGGGAAAGAAGTATGAGATTACCTACATAAGTCTCCAGTTCTGCTCAGACAAGCCGGATTCGCTGGTCATCTATAAATCCGCCAACTTTGGGAAGACCTGGCAGCCGTTCCAGTTCTACTCGAGCCAGTGCAGTGTGGTGTACAAGAAGCCATCCAGAGGCTTCATCAGTCGAGCCAATGAGCAAGAAGCTCTGTGTATGGACACTTCATTAGGGAGCAGGGTCGCGTTCAGCACACTAGAAGGTAGACCGTCGGCTAACGACTTTGATAACAGTCCCGTGCTTCAAGACTGGGTAACGGCTACCAATCTTAGGGTCGAATTTAACAGGATAGCCAGAAGAACCGGTGCCGAGAGTTTCCACTACGCTGTATCTGACTTCGCAGTAGGGGGACGTTGCAAGTGTAACGGTCACGCTTCAAGATGCGTCCTTAACAAATCCAAACAGTTGGAATGTGATTGTAAACATAACACAGACGGCAGAGACTGCGAAAAATGTAATAGTTTTCATTTTGACAGACCTTGGGGCAGAGCAACCGCCCACAATGCCAACGAATGTGTCGGTAAGTGAATGATAAATAGTTCAGAGTAAAACAGTGTTAAAAGTTTCTTACTGCTTGTTGATAAGTGAATGATAAATAGTTCAGGGTAAAACAAGTGTTAAAGGTTTTCAACAAGCAGTAATAAGTGAATGATAAATAGTTCAGAGTAAAACAGTGTTAAAAGTTTCTTACTGCTTGTCGGTAAGTGAATGATAAATAGTTTAGGGTAAAACAAGTGTTAAAAGTTTCTTACTGTTTGTCGGTAAGTGAATGATAAATAGTTCAGAGTAAAACAAGTGTTAAAAGTTTCTTACTGCTTGTCGGTAAGTGAATGATAAATAGTTCAGAGTAAAACAGTGTTAAAAGTTTCTTACTGCTTGTTGATAAGTGAATGATAAATAGTTCAGGGTAAAACAAGCGTTAAAGGTTTTGTACTGCTTGTCGGTAAGTGAATGATAAATAGTTCAGAGTAAAACAAGTGTTAAAAGTTTCTTACTGCTTGTTGATAAGTGAATGATAAATAGTTCAGGGTAAAACAAGCGTTAAAGGTTTTGTACTGCTTGTCGGTAAGTTGATGATAAATAGTTCAGAGTAAAACAAGTGTTAAAAGTTTCTTACTGCTTGTTGATAAGTGAATGATAAATAGTTCAGAGTAAAACAAGTGTTAAAAGTTTCTTACTGCTTGTTGATAAGTGAATGATAAATAGTTCAGAGTAAAACAAGCGTTAAAAGTTTCTTACTGCTTTCTGTGATCTTCATTTAGCAGCTTGTTCTAAACACTTTTTAGACTGATCTAACCCGTAATTAATATACTTTCCCCTGTTTAAAACTTCATTGGAGCGAGAACAGTTGTTTCTGTATTAATAAAGTCTTTGAAGAATGAGTTCTTCTATCTCTCTTATTATCTCTGTTTTTGATAAAATAATTTCACTTGAAGATTCAGTCTTGTTAAAATATGAGACTTCAGGCTCACAAATAAGTGCTCGCGCGAAACGAAACTAACGTGACATTGTTTTACGTTGTTGTGTGTTACTGTTTCATTCCAAGAGAAACAACCCATTTTTGGGGAGATGGCATCATTAGTTCTTCTGTGAAATAGTATGGGTAATAAGTGGAAGAGTCAGCATCAACATACAGTGTATTATATAAAATATACAAACCGTTATCTATATTATCGTTAATACAGTAAAAACTATGGCTGTAAACAGCTGTCTGAATTATCTTTAATACAGTAAAAACTATGGCTAAAAACCATTACCTAAATTATCGTTAATACAGTAAAAACTATGGCTGTAAACAGCTGTCTGAATTACCGTTAATACAGTAAAAACTATGGCTAAAAACCATTACCTAAATTATCGTTAATACAGTAAAAACTATGGCTGTAAACAGCTGTCTGAATTACCGTTAATACAGTAAAAACTATGCCTACACACAGCTGTCTGAATTATCGTTAATACAGTAACAACTATGACTACAAACAGCTGTCTGAATTATCGGTAATGCAGTAATAACTCTGGCTACAAACAGCTGTCTGAATTATCGTTAATACAGTAAAAACTATGGCTACAAACAGCTGTATGAATTATCGTTAATACTGTAAAAACTATGGCTACAAGTCGCTGTCTGAATTATCGGTAATACTGTAAAAACTATGGCTACAAGTCGCTGTCTGAATTACCGTTAATACAGTAAAACTATGCCTACAAACAGCTGTCTGAATTACCGTTAATGCAGTAAAACTAGGGCTACAAACAGCTGTCTGAATTATAGTTAATATAGTAAAACTATGACTACAAACAGCTCTCTGAATTACCGTTAATACAGTAAAAACTATGGCTTCAAACAGCTGGCTGAATTACCGTTAATACAGTAAAAACTATGGCTACAAACAGCTGTCTGAATTATCGGTATTACTACAAAAGCTATGGCTACAAATCGCTTTCTGAATTATTGTTAATACAGAAAAACTATGGCTACAAACAGCTGTCTGAATTATCGGTAACGCTGTAAAAACTATGGGTATAAACCGCTGTCTGAATTATCGGTAATACAGTAAAAACTACGACTACAAACAGCTGTCTGAATTATCGGTAACGCTGTAAAAACTATGGCTACAAACCTCTGTCTGATTTATCGCTAATACAATAAATACTATGGCTACAAAGCGCTGTCTGAACTATTGTTAATATAGCAAAAACTGTGGCTACAAACATCTGTCTGAGTTAACGTTAATACAGTAAAACTATGGCTAAAACAGCTGTCTGAGTTATCGTTAATACAGTAAAACTATGGCTACAAACAGTTATTTATATTATCGTTAATACAGTAAAAACTGTGGCTACAAACCTCTGTCTAAATTATCGTTAATACAGTAAAACTATGGCTAAAACAGATGTCTGAGTTACCGTTAATACAGTAAAACTATGGCTACAAACCGCTGTTTGATTTATCGCTAATACAATAAATACTATGGCTACAAAGCGCTGTCTGAACTATTGTTAATATAGCAAAAACTGTGGCTACAAACATCTGTCTGAGTTACCGTTAATACATTAAAACTATGGCTACAAACAGTTATTTATATTATCGTTAATACAGTAAAAACTGTGGCTACAAACCTCTGTCTAAATTATCGTTAATACAGTAAAACTATGGCTAAAACAGATGTCTGAGTTACCGTTAATACAGTAAAAACTGTGGCTACAAACCTCTGTCTAAATTATCGTTAATACAGTAAAAACTATGGCTAAAACAGATGTCTGAATTATCGTTAATACCGTAAAAACTATGGCTACAAACATCTGTCTGAGTTACCGTTAATACATTAAAACTATGGCTACAAACCGCTGTTTGATTTATCGCTAATACAATAAATACTATGGCTACAAACAGCTGTCTGAATTATCGTTAATACCGTAAAAACTGTGGCTACAAACATCTGTCTGAGTTACCGTTAATACATTAAAACTATGGCTACAAACAGCTGCCTGAATTATCGTTAGTACCGTAAAAACTATGGCTACAAACCGCTGCCTGAATTACCGTTAATACATTAAAACTATGGCTACAAACAGCTGTCTGAATTACCGTTAATACAGTAAAAACTATGGCTACAAACAGCTGCCTGAATTGTCGTTAGTACCGTAAAAACTATGGCTACAAACCGTTATCTGAATTATCGTTAGTACCGTAAAAACTATGGCTACAAGTCGCTGTCTGAATTACCGTTAATACAGTAACAACTATGGCTACAAACCGCTGCCTGAATTATCGTTAATACCGTAAAACTATGGCTACAAACAGCTGTCTGAATTACCGTTAATACAGTAACAACTATGGCTACAAACCGCTGCCTGAATTACCGTTAATACATTAAAAATATGGCTAAAAACAGCTGTCTGAATTACCGTTAATACAGTAACAACTATGGCTACAAACCGCTGCTTGAATTATCGTT